AGAGACAGAAGCTCCTGGGGACGAGATTGATCAAAAAAAAGGGTGAAAATTAACCCTATTTTAATTGGATATTAACCCTACTCGCGTATCCAATAATTCCCAGACGCCAATCTAACAGTATTTTGACCCACAAGACCGATTAGTACCGGAGCAGGAAGTGGGGCCTCAGGACCAGCTTGTGCCGCTCCGCCGCTTCCGTATCGGATGTGGGGTAACGATTGGACTTCACGCACCATCTGGCTGCATCGTGACAATGCTCCTCAAGTTGCCCACTACGACCAAAAGAAAAGTAGTAATAATCGTTACTATGGGTCTGTCTACACAATATTAGAAGTCGCTTGCATTATCTTGTATGGGCAAACGTGAGCTTGTGTCATGGAGCTTTGCTGCACCGGAAGGCGCATGGAAAAGACTCGTGTGAATACATGTTAGTGATATTAACCTGTGTGAGGGTCCATTCGAAGAGGCCCTGACCTGATTACCTGTGGGTGGCTTTCCTATCGATACCTGTATTAGGATCAGCAGAGTTACTGGTACTGCATTAGTGCCGAATGATGATATTGATGCATCACTCAACCTTGCTGGAGGACACCTCTCATTGATCCGTTATTCCCAGAAGGATACATATCTAGTCACCAGTCTACTGTAAAGAAGAAACTGCCTGAAATTGCCAGTTCCTGTTTTCATTTACATGACAACATGCTGATCTTTGCTGCTACTTCTATTCTCTCATCTTGAGTGACAATATTGCAAACCATCGTGAGTACAATGCCAACCAGAGTTTGGCCTGAAAAGACAAACAGAGTATGCGCATAGTCAATTATTAGCCATATTTTGACCGCAATCAGTGGGAAAAGATGGTACTGAATGATAATTAGGAGAATATCTATACATGAATCAAGAAAATGGCCGTGAATAGCACAGCATCATGGAATCAGATACAGGTGAACTTTCCACCTGAGGAGATGCTTTCCAACCTCATCAAGCCTCCAAATTCAATGAGCCTGCCATTGGAATCGTGAACATAGCGTGGGCTATTAGGAGTCCCAGGATTGGCCAGAATTATTCCAGAGGAAGATCATCATTCCTCTTGAGTATCTTATGCACGCACTCGCGGACGAGTCCTGCCCAAGTTGAATCCAATCTGGAAATAATGAGTCAAAAGCTTTCCGTAATGTACGATGGCATAAACAAAAGCGTGGCTCACTCCGGCTAGCCCCGATCCCAAGCCAAAGGTAATGAAGAGCCCCTGGACGGAGAACTTTTCTCTCTCTCTGCTAATGCTACCCATCTTCCACAATATCTATTTCCGGGTAAATTCAGAAATACACTCTTCAGGGTAAACAATAGTCATACATATGGTGCAAGACTGGTTTGGATCGTCATGGTCGCATTTAGTAAGCTTGTGTATTGTCATTCGTGCCTCAAGAATGAAGACGTAAGTGTATATTTCTGTGGTACACATGGCGATATCGTTATAACCAGTAAATAGTCGTGGGTTTCCAGACTAGCCGTGGGTTACCACAAGACAGGAAAGGAGCCTTGGGTGCCGTCCGCCGTAGTGAAGCAGAATTGCTTGTTTTATCTTGATAAAATGTGACACGTTAACGAGGAAGTTGAGTTGTTGGTAGAGTAGCTCCAAGCAGAAGTCAAGATCTAGTGAACAAGCCCAAAACCATAACTGTATTTTGTGCTCTAGTATTTATATTTCCAGCGCCGTAAGGCAATGTCATTGCTGGGCCATGGTAATTTGATGGCCACCGTGCAGAATAGCCCGTTTGCTACTAGGGTGGTCACGATATGTAGAGCCTCAATATGATCTCAGCAGGACCTGCTGCTTATAAATTGCAATTACGCAAAACGAAATCACTTTTACATTCTCTTGAAAGAGGCTTGTAATTACAGAAGGTTTGCGCACTGGGCTAATCGTAGGGCAAGTGTTGAACTTGTAATTGTGCACTAAATACCAACGGAAATACCATTGGCACTAGAGACCGCAGACTGGATAAAACTGGTGGTTTATAAGGCAAGAAATGTAACTGTGAGGCTACAAGGCTTGATGCTCTGTTGGATGCATGCACAATGCGAACTGGCGGAGCCTCATGGTTGAAACATAGGTGACAACAATGTGGCTAGTGTAGTTGTTTTGCAAAATAGGAACCAACAAGAATACAATTCTGGATACTTCTCAAGAATGTACGTGACTAGAGTGCCCTCATTGTAAAGTCGCCTCTTATAGGCATTGTAATTGTTCATCAACATATCATCAGATGCATTTACAAAGCTCCATAGACGACAGCTGGTACCTACCTAACCTATAGCTATCGAGGCTGGTCAGCTTGCCGCTATGGCAAATCCAATAGGAGCCGAGACCGTGGTGGAGCATAATGACACCCCTTTTCGACGTCAAATCGATCGAGTCGAGTGGTGAGACCGATGAGCAAAGTCGAGGCGCCACACGACAACTAGAAGATACTGTGACAGAAATGCGAATGACCACCCGGAAGACGACGCGAAAGGTACCGACCGAACAGCAAAAAGCCCAACCGACCGAAGCCTATAAGAGTAGTGGCAGCAGTAATAGCAGCGATGGAAGGGCAATGCTACAGAAGTCGCTGGATTTCCCGGGGGAGTCGCGAATGGAAACTCCAGGATTACAGGAAGCGTTGAAGAGACAAATGCAAACAATGAGGGAATGTCGGAGGCTCTTGCGAGATTGGAAGAGACCGTGGACGAGATGGAGGAACAGATGACCGAAAGAAGTACAACTGGTCCATGAGCAGCTCAGAACCATCGCCATGAGTGCAACGGACGAATCCCAACGATCACGTGCTACCGTTGCCAAAACTGCGACCTCAACCGTTCCTCTCGTCCCCACGGTTGACACTCTGTACTGCACGATTCATGTTTCGCGAATACATGACGATAACAGGCGCTTGGCCGGCACGATCCGAGCGACAGTGGAGAATCAAACCCGGGCCGAACTAGATCACTCCACGTGACGATGCCGAGCCGTGCTTAAGAGCCCAAGAACATCGGAACCTGCGTCCTACGAGACGATCTCTCCCGATTAAAGTGGACACTGTCAGCCGCAATACGACACCAAACGAGATCAACGAATTTCGAGTATAAGTCGCCGAGACTCTTGGCCGAGAGGATGACACAAGTTAGCGAGATTAGCATGGCTCAGCAGGCGAAGCGATCTCAAGTTGTACGGTCCCATGGTCGTATACTTCAAGCGACCCGAAGCCAAAGAATTTATCGGCGAAGGACTTCAGTGGCTGGACGAGAGTTCGGTACCGCAAGAGTGCTTGAACGTCTCGACTGGGTAAAACAATGCTATAACTGCCCACAGATCACGGACGATAATGTATCAGTGCGATCGACCTCAAGTCTGCGGCAAGTGTGCACAAGATTACCTTCATAGCAGATGCACGGAAATGATCGCCAAGATGTGTCCCATGCGGCGGCTTTCTTGAGTCACACAGAAGGACCTATCAGAAGTTCTATCCAACATAGTATGAATTACTTGTTCCGATTGTTTGAGCTGAATGTGAGGAAGAAAGGACTGGCACACGAGAGGCGGATAAACTACAAGGATATTTGGGATGCAGCAGTGCTGGCCATCCAAAAACCTCAAGCACGAAAGATCCAAGGAAAGCTGCTAACGGTGCCAATGGGACATCACGGGTTGCTCAAGATGGTACTGATGAGTATTGCTTTGGGTTAAAAAAGAGGTGGAGGCAGAGCAGGTGTCAGTAGAGCCCTTAGATGTGACTGCGACGGTCAATCGCCTGCCAGAGCGTCTGGTCTTCATGACGTCTGTCTACATACCCGGTGGAGATGCCCAAACTCTACAGGACATGTGCAGAAAGCTTGGCAGGTCTATCACTGACGTGAGGCGAAGGCCAGGAAGGGCGGTGGATGGGGTGATTACCCGTGACTTCAACCGGCACGACCAGGTGAAGGGAGGAGACGATGCATCGGTGGCAAAACAGGGAATGGTGGATCCGATTATCGATTTGATGAACTAATTAATCCTTCGAAGCCTTCTCCAGCGAGGCGCAAAGATATGGAAAGCGGAAACTGGGAAACATGGAATTGGCTCTGTCCTCTGGGCAACTTGCAGACGCACGTATGAAAGGTGCGATACATGGTACGGGGCAAGGATCAGATCATCGCATGATAGAGACAGTGTTCGACATCTCAGTTCCTGCGTCGAAACAGGACGAAAGACTCCTGTTTACTAATGCATCCAAGAAGGATATTAA